CGGGTCGCAGCCCACCTGGACGCTCTGGGCCCCCTGGTCTCCTACGTGCAGCCACCGCTGCTGCCCTCTATGTTCTACGTGGGCTTGTTTTTCGTCAATGTGCTGATCCTCTACTACGCCTTCCTCATGGAATACATCGTCCTCAACGTGGGCCTCGTCTTTCTGCCCGAGGACTTGGACCAGGCGCTGGTGGACCTTGGCGTACTCTCCGATCCCGGCTCTGGCCTTTACGATGCCGACTCGGAGCTCGACGTCTTTGATGGATATTTGGAGTAAGGTCTTGACTACTGCTCCCCACTTGCCCTCCACCACCCGCAACTCTTGGCCTGGACCAGCCGCCAATATCATGCCACTGCCACTAGTTGCGGGTACCATCTGGACCGGGATGAGACCCCAGGAAGAGGCCCGTAAGTGCCCTTGAGATGGGGATGTATTGCAGGGGAGGGAGAAGGTGGTGTCCTCAGGACAGATTCACATCCTTCTCCCAAGCCTCTGATTTCTCTGGCCACCTCCTTTGGATCTAACTTAAATGCTAGGAATAGTGAAATCTGGAGAGATTCCCCTAAGGAAAGGGACCCAGGATCTACATTGACATTTGAAGTAACCGTGCAATTTACCCCCATGACCTGTGCAGAAAGATTTGTACCAAAACCTTTTGAGGTGGAGCTGTCAGCTGCTCCCCCTAGTCTCAGCCTGTCCTGTTGGTGACCTTGGGGTTTGGGGAATTCGTATTTGTCCTAGAAGGATAGACTGCTGTCATAGGAGGCACTGGTCACTTTTGTTCTGTGGCCTCCTGAGGGACTAGTTAAACTCAGGGGCTAAGGCTGGGAGAATGGAAACCTTCAGCAAACAACGCCGCCGCCGCACTTCCTTTTGGCAGTGCATCTGCTGCTGTATTTGGAGTCAGGTTTCAGGGCTCCTGAGTTGATCTGCAGTTCAGATCTGCAGAGGCTGTCAGTTCCATAGGCTGCCTCTATAGAACAGGCAGGCAGTTCTGAGCTGCAGCTGGCTTTGTCTGCAGTATTTGCAAGGCCTCCAGGGACTGTAGGGTCAGCAGAAGGAACCACAGGATGCTTTGCACTGAAGACCTGCTTGTGGGCTTCTGCCAAGAAGCTTTGTTGTAGCTAGAGGTAATGTGAGTCCAGGGAGGAATAAGACTAGCCAAAGTCTCCCAAGCAAAGGGGACAGCTGGGCTATGTGAGAGAGAGCATTTGTGATAGGCAAGCTATTGGGTCCAGCTATAGGGACGAGTACCCCTATAGCTGGGTAATGCTGGCAGGGCATAGATCCTGAGTGACAATGAAGGGGCATATGGAGCTGGTGGGCAGGGGTCCCTTTTTAGACAATAGACAATAATGTCACTCACCCAAAGGAGGCAGTTGCCCCTCCTCTCCTCTGTTACCTGGTTGCCAACATTGCCATGAGAGGGTATCTTAGTTTGGGATACTATTCCAGAATACCATTGCTTAAACAGCAAACATTTCATTCTGATAGTTTTCCAAAGGGCACTAATCCTACCAGAGGGAGTTTTCCAAAGGGCATTAATCCTACCAGAGGGATCCATCCTTGTGACCTAATCACCCCAATACCATCACTGCAGGGGACTTCGATCCATCCCCATGACCTAATCACTCCCAACAGAATCACTTCAGGATCAAGGTTTCAACAGTGAGATTTGGAGAACACTCTGTCTGTTGTAGAAATAATGCACACTAAGCAGGAGATACTTGGGGACAAAGAAAGATATTTTTGAAGACCTCTTTGGTTAAGTTTAGTGACATCTTCACAGGAGCCAAGCTCAAGGCAGGGCACGAGCCAGCTGCTCCGCATTCCTGCCAGCCTGACATCCGTTCTTTCATTGAACAAATGCCTATTTGTTGAGTACTCGGTGAGCAAAGACAGATGGAACCTGGCACACGGGCCTTCGATGAGGAACACGAGTGGGCACCAGGAAATAGGAGTTTAGGGGCTCTGCTGTTGTGTTCACTGCTGTTTGCACAGCATCTGGCCTCTGGCAGCTGCTCTGTGAGAAATGACCAGGAGAGGAGAACAGAGATGGGCTGCTTTAATTAGAGGGTCAGAGAAGGCCCCTCTGAAGGGATGAAAATATGAGCTTAGCCCCAGATTGAAAGAGGGAGCCCAACAGAGCTCTGGAGAAAAGCAGTCTGAGCAGAGGAACTGCTAGTGCCCACGTCTCAAGATAGGAGAGGGATGGCACATTCAGCAGCTAAAAAGAGACTGGAGACACAAAAGTGTAAAGAAGTCAGTGTGGTCCTGAGACTTCATGGCCAGGATCAGTTAGCATCCAGTGAAGGTCCCAGGCAGGGTGTGACACAGTCCATCTGTCTCATATTCTCTGAAGATGACTGACTGGCAGCCGTGAGCAGAATATACTGAAGGGCAAGAGTAGGAGCAGTGAAGAGGTCTATCCAGAGGTGACAGGGGATTGGTCAAGGTGAGGCTAGTGAAGATGGGCAAACATACGCTGGGAACACCTAACAGAGATAGAATCTCTGGGATCCATTCAGAACCTGAATAGAGACTACATGTCGCTCCTGGTTGTAGATCCTCTGTGTGTTCACTCATGTAGTCATTCAACAAGCATTGCCCTTCCTTTCCTCACCGAGTCTAGGCTATGCCCTGTGATCCTAAGCTGCACCTCTGTCCCTGAACCAAGTCAACTCTCAGACAGTGTATTGTGGTGGAAAAAGTCTTATTTTATCTTCTTAGTATATCAACAGAAACAATCCTGCTTCCAAGTGAAAACATTGGCATATTCTAAGCTAAAAACCAAAACCCAAATGCTTTGACATATTTTCAAGCAAATGCTGTTTGAGCAGAAACACCAAGAAGCATTTCTTTGGGATACTCTTACCTGACCCTGGAGGTAGAAAGGATACAGGATATAGAAAATGCCCCACCCTGAGATAGAGACTAATGAAACCCACACACTATACTACGTGTCCCCCAATCCAAGCTAGAAGACCTTGGTCCCAGAGCCAGAAGAGCCAGACCCAGAGGGTACTGGCCAGATGTCTGGTAGCAACTTGGAGTGTAATGACCCAGCCTCACCTCCTGGCCCCTTTCTATAAGCAGAGGAGTCCCAACATGCTTGTTCCTCTCCTGCTCACATGACACCTGCGTTCTAACAAGCCAGGGCAGGAAACACTAACAAAGGGCATGCACACAGGACATGCCAGGCAGTGTCAACATAACAAAGGACATCCATTTTGGTCCCTTGGGTCCTCCATGTCTTGTGTTTACCCCATGTAATTCAGCTTCTCATACTCTTTTTTTTTTTTTTTTTTTTTTTTTTTTTTTTTTTTTTTTTGGTATTTTTGAGACAGGGTTTCTCTGTGTAACAGCCCTGACTGTCTTGGAACTTGATCTGTAGAGCAGGCTGGCCTCAAATTCACAGAGATCAGCCTATCTCTGCCTCCTGAGTGCTGGGATTAAAGGTGTGAGCCACCACAACCCAACAGTTCCTTATACGTTTCTTGAGCACTTATTTGAGAAGTCGATGTAGAGGCAGGGTTAAGGGCAGTAACTCTAAATTCAGATTTTCTAGATTCAAGTCACAGGCCTAGCCATAGTTTTGGGGATGTTGTTTAACTCCACATGATAGTGGCCTCTTTTATAAAACAGGGGTAATAAAAATCTACCTTGTTGTAAGGACAAAGAGTTGGACCATCTGCATGGTAACTGGCCCTTGAACATAAAGCCTCTGTTACTGACAGGTAGGTGCAGTCTGGAGCCAACTGCCTTCACCTGCCTTGTGCATGAATATTTATGGCCCATGAATAACAAAAGGACCAGCTCCGTGAACTCAGGGAATATGCCCATTGGTACACGCTCAAGTGCGCACACACACACACACACACACACACACACACACACACACCCTACCTCTGACTCCCTGCCTGCCTATCTGGCCCTAGAGACTTTTCCTGCTGCCCATAGTCCCCAGGGCACTGGTTCTGGAGCTCTGGGGAGTGGTTTCTAGAGTGTTTAGTGTGGCCCAGGGGAGTAGGGATGAAGTTCCTTGCTTGCTTGGGGAGAAGACTGGGTGCGAGCCTGGGAACCTTAGCGGGGGAAGGGGTTGGGGGATACTGACATCTCATCTACTAAGTTAGAGAGGCAGCTTAGCCTGGTTGATTATTTCAGAGTCCTAACAGGTGGCAGGTACCTACTAGACCTCCCTTGGCATATGAGATATTGTGGAAGGCTCACTGTCTCTGGCCTGGGAATGGGGATGTGTAGACTATGTGTAGCCTGGTAGAGTGTGGCTGTGGAATAAGGGTGGTGATTGACTCCTTAATCTGGCTTACTGCCGGTTCAGGTGGCTCAACTGGGGACTGTAGCTGCTTTCTTGGCCTTTCTTGCCAGACTGTAGCCTATACTATCAACAGAACACCCAGCTGAACATGCCACTGCCCAATTAGGATGCCCACTACTTCCATGGGGGTAGCCTTGTGCTCAGATTCCAGTTGTGGGAGACCCATAGGTAGCCTGTGGAGCTGGGTCAGGGTGAAGGTCAACAGGAACGAGGCTAAGGCTATTGTCTTGACAAGAGGATCTAGAGGTGTGAGAGGCAGGCACATGCCCTGGTCTGCCATGAGACACCTAGTGCTACAGCAGTTCTGGTCATTCCTTTGGGAAGCAAAGGACTCTAGGCCAGCTGAGAATCCAATGGGAATCCAATGGTCCCATGCCCTTGGCTCTGAGTTGACACAGACTAGAGATTCCAGCCAGAGAAGCAGGGCCGACATTATACTCTCTTCCCAGCCTTGGGATCTGTTTAGTGTGATAAAAAACCAAACAAACAAACAAACAGGTGGGCTTCTGTCAGATATTACTGCTGCCTTCATCCTGGACCTTCCAGAGAGCACCAGCTACATTTGGGAAACCATTATCACATTGAAAGACACAGACTTTTTTTTTTTTTTTTTTTTTTTTTTTTTTTTTTTTTTTGAGACAGGGTCTCACTATGTAGCAGCAACTGGCCTCAAACTTGGGATCTTCTGGCTCCTGACTGCTAAGTTAATCCAACCCTGCAAATAAAGAAACTGCAGACCAGAAAGTGAGGAGTCTGAAGAACAAGGACATATAAGACAGTAGTGTCTCCTGCACAACACAGTGGCCACTAGTGAGCAGAAGAGCCTCCTGTGAGATCTGTCCCCATGTCCCCTGTCCAGCACCAGCTCACAGCCTCTCTAGGCCCATCTCATCTACATGCTTATTCCTTGTTTCCTGAATCCATCCAAAAAAAACTTGTAGAAAAATTTAAAAATTCCACTCTTACAACAAAGTTTCAGGAAAAGTATGAAGAACTTCTGTGCTCCCTTCACCAGAGCCTGCCGGAGGCATTCTGTTCATGTGCTCACTGCAAGCTCACATCCTTCTCCGT